TTTTTTTTTCTTTTCCCAAGAAGGAGTAAAAAGGGAGTGTTGGAAACTTAACATTTAAACAGGATTAAAGCCCTGAGCGCTTAAGGGGAAAACAGGTTAAGGAACGTAATCCAGGATGGATCTGCAGGAGCCCCAGCAGCTGGGAATGTTCGCGGAGGGCGAGCTGATGTCGGTGGGGATGGACACGTTCATCCACCGCATCGACTCCACCGAGGTCATTTACCAGCCCCGGCGCAAGCGGGCCAAGCTCATCGGCAAGTACCTCATGGGAGACCTGCTGGGGGAGGGCTCCTACGGCAAAGTCAAGGAGATGCTGGACTCGGAGACCCTGTGCAGGAGGGCTGTGAAGATCCTGAAGAAGAAGAAGCTGCGCCGGATCCCCAACGGGGAGGCCAACGTGAAAAAGTGAGTGAGCAGGCCTGGGAGCTGGGGGGGGTCAACCTGGGGCTTGTTTTGAGCTCCTGTGTCACTTTAGCTGATCTGGTGGGGAGAAGGGCTTCCTGAGCCGTGGCTTCCTGCCGTGGAAGTGCTTCCTAAGCCATAGGTGTTCAGGAATCCTCCTCCCGAACAGCGCCCAGCGCTCTGGGTGAGGCTGGCACAGGGAAAGGGGCGGGCTCCTGAGGGCCAGGGCTGTCTGGAACACACCACTTTGGTGTTGCTTAATGGATTAAATAGTGTTTCCTAAAGCAATCCCTCTCTAAGGTGTCACCTTGCCCAGGTGCTGCTGCCTGGGAAAGGTGAGGGGGCACAAACGCACCTGGTGCAGGCACAGTCGGGGTTATTGCACACAATTGTGTGTGGCCCTGGAGCTCTCTGGGGTGGCAGCTCCTGCTCCCCGCCCTGTGGAAAGTGATCCAATGTATGGGGCACCCCATGGGCACAGGAAGTTTTGAGGTTTTCCCCTGGTTTCGTTTCTGAGGTGTCTGGGACACATTCGAGGCTCTCCCCAGCTGATTTCTGATGCTGTGAAACAGGGCCAAGGGCTGTTGACCTCTGTGGTGTCAGTGACTCCAGAGCTGTGCTTAGGAAGCTCCCACACCCTGGTTACTCCGGGCACAAGGACCTTGTGGAAGGGAGCCCTGGGAGGGGCCGGGGCCGTGGGGCTGCTGAGGGAGCTTTCCCTTCCAGGATCTCGCAGCAGCTGCGTCCCAGCCCTGCCAGGAGCTGCTTATCTGCCGTGCAGGAGCCTCTGCAGCCCAAACAACCCGGCCAGGGTTTATCTGGGCTGGGAGGGAGGACTGAGAGCTTCGAGCTGCCCAGCTAGGGGTGAACCCTGAGCTGGCAGAGTCCCGTGTGTGTCTCTCACCCAGGGCTGAGTTTCCCAGGTCAGCTCTGGGATATTTCACATCCTGTCCCAGCACTGCTGTCAAGGAGCTCTTGCTTTGCCTTCCAACCTTCCTTGACAGCCTTGGCTGTGGAACAGTCACATCCCGAGGCCAGGACCTCCCTGTCTCTGCCTTCCTGGCTCAGGTTCAGGATCAGAGCGAGCTTCGTTAATGTGTAATAAAATGTTTCTTGTTTTTCTGGTAGAGGCTGAGTGCCCCCGTCCCTCCATGGGCACATCCAGAGCTGCCACTGAGGAACAGGGAGATCGCTTCCTCCTTGGGGAAACTTTTAATGTAAATTAGATAAAAAGAACTTGCCCAGACCAGGAGAGTTCCCTGCTCTGAGCCATGGGAACTCTCCTGCGTCCTGAGGTGAACTCCGTGGAAGTTTTATTCATGCCCAGAGCGGGGCTGTGAGTGTCAGGGGGGTTATTAAGGGGGTTATTAAGCAGACTAGCCAAGCCCCTCCCTGGTTTGGACGTTTTCTGGCTCAGCCCCACCTGCTCCAAAACACCAAGGCAGATTTTAGGTGTTGTCTTGTACCCAGGGTTGACTTTAGCTCAAGTTCCCGTTTCTGTCCCCTCGTGCTTTCCTCTCTACCCACCCATTTGTAATCTTTGTCTGCTGCTTCAGTGGGGAATTTTAAGGCAAACTGTTGTATTTTTGGGCCCCTGGGCCTGTGGCCCTCTGAGCTTATCAGACCCTTCAGCTCAGGGAGTGAAAGGATGTTGAGGGTTTAAGCTTGTAAGACACAGGTTTCCTTAAATCCACTGAGGGAATTTTCGTTTCTCTTCAGTTGCTCCAGGTGAAGTGGAGGTGGCTCAGTCAGGCAGACAGTGCTGGGGCTGATCCCTTCAAAAAAAAGAGTTTAGTGGGATTGCTGAAAAGAGGAAGGAAAACTTGGCAGGCTGTGTGTGCAGCAGCAGAGGTTTAATAACGCCATGTGCTAATAACCTCACACGTTAATTAAGTGTCTGGGGCCCTGTGGGATCCCAGGTGCCCTGTGCTGTACTTACCACCTCGGTGACTGCTCGGGTTGGAAAATGCACTCCCTGCAGTCCCTCGCAGGGGTCGTGGGGCGGTGCAGTCACAGCTTGTTCCTGGGGTCTGCAGGGCCAGCTCTGCTGGGCACGGCCTTGCTGGGAGCCCCAGAGCTGTGGGCTCAGGGGGGGCTGCAGCTGATCCCTGTCCCCCCTGCCCGGCACGGGTGCCCTTTGGAACCGCCTGGCTCGGGGATCCTCTGCTGGGCGGGGTGTTTGCTTGGCCTGGGAGGGGAAACACTGGGAGCTGTGATCCGTGGGAGAGCACAGGTAGCTGTGTTGTGATGGATGTACAGCCTGGAATGCCAGACATCCCTGCAGGAGTGGGATGTGGACGGAGCCCTGGGACTGGAAAAGAGAAAAAGCAACACCAAAGTCCTCCTTGTCCAGTCCTGAAGCAGGTGCCTGCTCCTAAGCTTTTAGGACTTTATTGGAGGAGCCTCGTGAACCAAAGGAAGGGAATGAATCTTTTGGCTGTGTGGCTGGGTTTTGTTTAAGCAGAATGGCTGTGACACCAAGGACAAGCTGTAGGAGCTGGATCTTGGTGGAGATGTCCAGGAGGGAACTTCTTTCCAGGCTGTCCTTGGCAACTTCCAGAATGGTGTGGCAGTGGAGCAATAGGCAGCTTTGCTATATACAGTTCTGAGCAACAACAATCCCCAGTTATGTGCCAGTGTAGGTACCTTGCAGGGGATAAGTCTTAATCTACCAGGATGAGCTTAATGGATCTGACAGAGCTCGAGTTAGAAGGTCTTTTCCCTCCTTGTCTTCCTCCAAGGAGGCTGCACTTGGAAGCAGGCCCTGCCCTCTGGCAGCCTGTCTGGTCACACACTTGCACTGGGCTGGGATGGGATTTGGGTGTTAATTTTGGGGAAAAAAATGAACTTTAGACCCTTTCTGAGGAGGTGAGTTCCCTTGCTCGTGGGGTTTGCAAAGCAAAATAGGGTTGGAGGT